AGCCGCACACACACACACACACAGAGAGAGAGAGAGAGAGAGAGAGAGAGAGAGAGAGAGAGAGAGAGAGAGAGAGAGAGAGAGAGAGAGACTTGAGCGAATATAAGAAAGAGTGAGAAAGGTTGAGACGCTTACCCTGGACGGGAGGTCCGTTAGCTACGATCTGCCGCGAGAAACTTGAGCGTGAGCATGCCCAAAGAGGCTCAAAACCAGGCGGTTGCACGCGGTGAGGGTGTGGTAGTAGCAATGTACCTTCCTATGTTTTGCGGAAGGTTCCTTTTCACTTTGCACATTGGTAGGCTGCTCAATTGATGCACGCATGAAGCTGAACTGCATCTGTAAGTTCAAATCCTGCTGCAACCTAGATAAAGTAGTCCGGATTTATGGACGATTCGACAATGCGCTGGTGCTTTTCGATCTCGCCCAGGCTAGATAATGGTTGTGCCTGGAGTAAAGCTAGACGTGAGCGGAAGCAGGACATGCGTATTGCCGAGTGCGACAATTATATATATTGTTGTGCATGTTGTGCATCGACTGTGCTGGTTGCTGTGCACGGTTGTCATGCGCACAAATTCTCTTGTATTCTACCTACTTTTCGGATAGAGCACAAAGGGTATTCGAATACAAGGGGTGTGCTCTATTCGAATGTGGCATTTCTAAGTTGCGGTGCTACAATTTGGTCTGAGAGGAGGTACTGTGTTTCTGGAAGGATAATCGGGCTTAGTAAGGGGGTCATTGCTACAACTTGGAGTCCAGAGGGCCATTACTTGGTGTCTTTACTACAAACCGATCGAGGTACTACGTTCGGCCACTATTGCAAGGCTCTCAGGTGCATAGGCCACAAGGCCCTCTCATGCGGGCTGAGTTTGTCCCCTTCTCGTATCTCGAACATCCGAAACTTCTTCCTCTATCCTTCTTACTCTAAATCTGATCTAAGGCGGCAGGCAGGATTGCAACCCGTAGGGCCGCAACAAGGCCTTTGTGGGAGGTTACCCCACCGATTGTGGGAGCTCTGCCAAAGCCTAGGCGAGGTTCTGGAGGCAGGGAACAATTAGGTAGACCATCTTTCTGCCCTGGGTGAACCCACTATACCCCTATTGATTACATCTCTCTAGTTTGTCAGAGATAGATAGATAGATAGATAGATAGATAGATAGATAAATAGATAGACAGATAGATAGATAGATAGAGAGAGCAATGATCACTCTCAAGCAGACCATACATATTACATACTATGTGCTTTGGAGGCTGGAGACTTTGGACTATATAACAAAACAAGGGGATGCCCGCCGCAGCAGGTGCGGCGGCCAACAGGAGGGGAGGGGCGGGGGGGGGGGGGGGGGATACTGCAATGAGAACGAATCGTCCGCCGGAGCACAAAAAACAGTTTGAGTGAGTACACTGGGTAGTGGAGCGAGGCCCTCTGTCATATGTTCAAGCGCGCCTCACCTGAAAGGAACTTTTTCACATCCACGAAGGCAAAGAAGGAATGCTCAGAATCCCAGCGAGAGTTCTTTCCAGGTGAGTGGGGCGATCTTAGGCCTTGCTCGACTACTCTCATGGACAAATGACAACAATTGCATTTTTCCATGTTCTAGTGGAAGATTCTCTCATTTTGCACATGTACACCCCCCATGTTTTCTGTCTTTTGTGCATCTGGTGAAGTCCGCTAGCGGTGGCATCACGCCAAGGATGTCGGAAAAAGACAAAGTAGAAACGGATCTACGGAAATAACAACAAATCTACTAAAAAAAAAAACAAAAAAAAAACAATGAACCTACACGTGGAAACTGCCAGCACAAAAATGACGCACAACCCCAAAGAACACAAAACCCGTGAAGGGAGAGCCCCGACCCTTCCACAGGGTTCAAACGTAGGGAGAACGAATCTTGTCTTTGAATACGGAAAGATACACCACCATATTTTTTGTCGTTGTGCATGTACGATTGGCGGGCCGTGCCTGCTATATATCTGTATTCGAACATAGGCGGAGGTGCAAAAAGCACGACCAACACTTTTAGTGTGTACTTGTATTCGAACGTGGGCGGAGGGCAGAAAAAACAAAGCGCGTCCCACACTTTTCATTGGGCCCAACCCGACTCCCTAGCCTTTGCTTTGTTACCAACACTGGCGCTCCGCATCTAGCGGGAGCATTACCCGTGACGCACAACCCCTAAGAACACAAAACCCACGAAGTGAGAGCCCCGACCCTTCCTGAGGTTTCACACATAGGGAGAACAAATCTTCCCCTTAAATATGGAAAGATACACCACCATATTTTTTGTCATTGTGCATGTAGAGATTAGCAGGGCGTGCCTGCTGTGTATCTGTATTCAAACGTAGGCGGAGGGGCGAGAAACGCGATCAACAGTTTTCGTGTGTACTTGTATTCGAATGTGGGCCAGGGCAGATAAAGCAAAGCACGTCCCACACTTCTCATTGGGCCCAACCCGACTCCCTGGCCTTCGTTCCCAACACCCACGCTCCGAGCCTCCTAGGAGCGTTACGCAAGACCCGAGATTCACTTTAAGAGTAAAGACGACAAAACGAAACAGTGCAATTTTTTTTTTTTTTTTTTTTTTTTTTTTTTTTTT